GGAACGGCTTTGTAAATTAAAACCAAACCATTTCGGTACGGCATTCTGAATTAAAACCAAACCATTTCGGTACGGCATTCTAGTGCCTGGTTCACACGTAACATTTACGCCGTTGTAGCACTGCTGTAAATTTACCGACGGTGCTATTTTTACCGTGCGACCAGTTTATGCCGGTGTTAAAATGGCGGATTTTACACCGGCGTAAACTTTCTGACCAGAGTCAGAGCTCAGACCTAAATTCTAAACAAAAGTTTGTGTGAACACGCACAGTGGCACAAACACTCTCTATCGGGAATTCGTGTCTACGTCCATAGCAACGACATGACGACGAGTCATACACGTACCGCTCTGGTCAGTGGAACGAGTAGTCTCGGAAATAATTGAATAATAATAATAAAGTCCTGCTACTGATTTCTATTTGGTAAGAGTAAAATATTTTTAGATTGATACACGGAACCTCCCATGATAGCCAGGTTTACAGGATTATTGCACAAAAGACAAGGAATTGATGTGAGATAAACACGCAGAACTGTGCTGTCAAAAAGTAAAACCTTTGAAGTCAAGATTCAATTAAAAATAATAACCGTAGTGATAGGGTACGAATATTTTCAAACACGGATCTATCTACAGAGGGGGTGCTACACAAGCCTAATATAAAATTACGCCGGCGTTTTTAATGTCGTGTGATCGCAAACGAAATACACCGTTGCAGAGCCAATGCGCCGCAAGAAAGGATACACCATAAAAAATAGACACGCAGTCACACACATTATTATTCTCAATAAACATATTTTTATTAGCAAACGCACAACCTGAAAGAGGGGTTGCAGTTGACGTTAAATGTATGATTGAATTGTGTTTTGATGCGATCAGGAATTGGCTTGTTCTGAACAATAATTGCAGATGATTAATTTCTCATAACCATAAAGTGGTGATGGAGAGTGCAGCCATGCTGGGAAATTACTGAAAAATGTCGGTGAGTGTCTCTAAATTTGCAGGCAAGTTTTGGAGCGCAGGACGAGGTCGTGGCGTTGCATGAATTGTTGACACCATCCTTTCGATGCTTTGAAGTCGGGCTGCACTGGTCGTACTAGCTGGAGTGCGTAGATACGTATCGCGTCTATCGTTACAGGTAACTTTAAGTCTCGTTGCTCGAGGACCCAAGCTAAAATCTGCTCATCCATCTCTCTCGGGTATGAGATGTTGCGACCGCTACCAATACGTCGACCAGCTTTGGTAAGTCGAGCTGAATCAAATGTGTACTTTTTCCACGTCTTCAAAGTGGAAGGTGGAATATTGTACAACCTGGCAGCCGCATTGAAACCAATTACACTTGCCTTTTCTAATACGCATTTACGTTTCTGTATAGAATATCTCTTATACACGCCCCTTTTCTTTGTTGCCGGTGACTGCAATGTTGATGGTGTCGTCCTAATTTGAGCAGTCTGCAGGGTATGGTCGTTACTGGTGACATCGGTTGTTGATACATTTGTGTCATCGTCCAGACGTGTTTTTTTACTGGGTCGACCGACTGGACGCTTCTCTGGTTTCTTTGGCAACGGTGCGAGTAACCAGGTGCGCGGTATCGGTGGACAGTCCATCGTAGCCTTGCTAAAAAAGAATTCAATGCGCTGCATGGCAATGGGTTATACTGAGAATATGTTGAAAGCGAGCGAGCTGTTTTTCGTACGAATGAGAAAACTAAAAGTGAAATTTCTTTCTGTCCGACAGCTATTTATGCCAAACTTTCGGAAGTAGGACAGAAATGCCGTTGTCAATCCCTTACTAAGTGTCTATAGCTCAACAAAACGTATCCAAAATAGCATTGTCTAGTACGTTGAGTTCGTCCGGTAATGAACAAAGCTGTCTCGCACCACTTAGGAAAACTTGCGAATGTTCGAAGTACAGGTACCCATTGGACAAAAGATACATGGAAGTTTAGCAACTGGGACAGTTTGTATCTCCCCGACACAGTGCAATATATCCGGTTAGAAACAAAACTCACGTGTCCCTTATTATTCAATTGTAAATTTTTGGCTATCACGTGTAAACAATAGAGCAATATTTTTTGAAAGTCAAGCAGGGCACGGTTACTAAAAAAACGTGAACAGGGCGATTTTTTTTCACTCTACACATATACAGCACAGTACTGTAACATCGTTTTTTTTCCCTATGACACTGTCGTTCAAACACTGAAACATATACTTTGTGCACACACAGTCCCTAGATAGAGGGACTGTGGTGCACACAAACCAACGGACCTTTCTATGGCCACCATGTCCCCAGAATGATAAAGAGTACATACAGGTTGATTTGTTGCTATATAGAGTACGTAAAACGGGATGATTTGTTGCTATATAGAGTACGTAAAACGGGCTGATTTGTTGCTAGTGGGAAAATGCACGTACAACGTTTGTTATCGTTACGACTGATCATGCATATAATTATACACTTATAAAATTGTTTATTGAAATAAAATCACACACAGACCATGGAGCTAAAAAAGATTATATTTATATATATTAGAGCACACACACCCGGGAGACACTCCACGCAAACGATCATAAACATTGCTGCAAGATTATTATGTGTAAAGTTTCGGTGATGAATCCCTCAGCCAATCAGAAACTGGTACTCACGCATTCGGGGAAAGTACCGACGGTAAATTCAAAACGATTCTCTGGCCGTGTCATTGTAGGTCAGCAGTCGCTGAAACCAGACTGTAGAACAAAAAAATAAAAAAAAAGTGAACAGTGTTTTACACTATGACAAGCAAAACAAACTCGGAAATCTTCGTTCCACCACGGTTACGAATAAACTATGTTTGGGAGAAAACCAAAACTGGTCGAAATTTTTGAATAAGTTGGCGATTTTTAAATCAAATCCCAGGGCTAATCTGTTAAAACGCACTCTGTATATAACTTGTGAAGTGCAAATCGGCAATTGTAGTTAATTGCGGTAAATCAGACGAGCCACTATTTCCTAGTATTAACAAAACTAAAGGGAAAAATGTAATGTTTTATTCTTTGAATTTACGAAACAGACGACAGGCCCAGTGAGGGACAATGACGGAAACACTGGTGACGTTACGTGTTTGATTTGTAATACTAGTATGTGCTTCAAAAACAGTGACGGCGGCACGACATTATTCATGGGTCGAGAGTTGCCCTTCGGCGCGAGTGATCACGGATTTTTCTGGGGGCGACCCCCGCCGGTGTCGCCGCCACTAGAAAACAGCAATGTTTTTGTGGGTAATTCACGTTTTAGGCAATTATAATTTGTATACAATACTGTCTATGGTTTAACTGCTGGTTTTCGTTCTCCTTTCTATTTTTAATAATAATAAATTCCCACACCAATTGTGATGGAAATTAGGTTCCAGACAAAACTAAATAAAAAGTCAACATGACATGCATTTATTAATGCATACATTTGTCATTCCAGATATTTCCAGTAGTAATGTGCCTGTTTGCTGATGGCACAGTTCAATTTGCCAATTCAGCAAGGGGCTGACAATAATCACCCAATATCGAAAGAGAATTTTAATACTTCAAATGGTACACCAATTCCTACTCAATTACATCTATTTGATATGCATGTGAATCATTTCATTACAATGGCTATCTATAATACACCAAAAACATGAATCAACAAAAATACATATAATCTTGCACGCTTGAGCAAACTTGGTCGTTTCCCCCCTTTTCACCACTATCTTAAAAAATGGTATAAAATACCGATGAATAACCTGTTGTATTATCTTTCAACTTGTGCAGATTCGACATTACTTAGTAGTTTTATTCATTAAACAGACAGACAGTAGTTTCTAGTTTATTTTTTGTTTTCAATAAATTGTGTTGGTT